CCGTTACACGTATACGAATGCTTTCAGGTCCCATACTTGTAGCCATATGCTATGTAGACAGTAACTGATTAGCACTAAGTATATTGTTTCCTGTGTTCTCGAAGCTACTAAAATGAGTTTCACCAAACTGTGGGAGGCAGTGGAAGACAGGAGTGCCTGGCGTGCTCTGGACCATGGGGTCACAAAGATTCGGACACGACTAAATGACTAAACAACAACAACATATTGTTGCCTGTGGTTATTACTACATTTCCAGACAAGCAAATGGGAGGAATGATAACCCTAGACCTATTTAGCTTGCCAGGTGAAATAATAACCCTGCTCCCTGCCCTGTGCAATGTTCTGTCCTGACCCTTCCTGGCCAATTAGATGGGGGGTGAGCGGAAGTCCTTATGCAAGTGTCCTCTGAAAAGAGTCATTAGTTGGAATCTGCCAATTACTTTCAACTGCATACAATCAAGAAAGATGGTGGCTGTTGGTGGAGGCCACCAAAAATTATTCCACCTGGCAGTAACTCCTCACAGAAGCCATAATGTAGGAACATGGAGAGTCATATGACAGAGCCAATCAGAAACATGCAGCTGTGTCGCAAATAATTCTTCACATATTGGCCTTTCTCCAGGTGTGTGTGTGCCATTCTCCCAGGCCTTTTGATGTGGATTTTAAGTGCATTTTAGATTTTGTTGATGGTTTTACTGCTTTGTATGTTTGCTGTGCTGGTTTTATGTGGTTTTTTCTGATTGTATGCAGATGTTACAGTTATTATAATGATATTGTGCTGGTTACTTTATTATAGCACCTTACTTATTTTAATCTTAGCAAACTGCCCAGACACTTCAGGTATTTGGGCGCTATAAAGTGTAAGTTGTTGTTGTTGTTGTTGTTGCTGTTGTTGTTGTTGTTGTTGTTGTTGTTGTTGTTGTTGTCTATTGGTGTCCCACATGCTAAACAGCTCACAAATGTTACAATCCCCATATGAAGGATGTAACTTTTAAAATGGACCACAGAGTTAATAAAAGATACACACACACGGAAGCACTGGGAGACGAACGGCAATTTGCCTCTCCTATTGGTTATAGGTACTACTGTTAATTATTGCAATGCTTTGTTATATATGCAGCACTATGTAACAATAACCACATATGGTCAAATATAAAATGTGGCAATTCTATGTCTTTCAAAAGTAAGTAGCTTGATGCACTGTAAGCTTAGGTATGGACCGGACAATGAATTCACCTTCACCCAAACTGCTGCATGATAGACATGTCACCTGCAAATTCCTCAGTACAGACCACTAGTAATGAACCAGATGCCTTATATATTTATGCAAATTTATTGTGCTATTTTGTTATTTACACATTACAAGAAGACAGTCTATTTATTTGTATCATTGATTATCATTATCCTTTTTTAAACCCATAAAAGGTTTTTTGGGGGGTGGGGATAGAACAGTCTGTTTGTTGTATACTAGTATCTCACACACTCCAAATTAAAAAATGTTCCAAATCATTAAGATGTGTCCTTTTCAACACAGAGAACTTCAAAGTGGTGCACTTCTGAAGTAGTACATAAACATTCTCAGTGCAATGAATCTGCTTAATAATTTGATTTTTAAAAGTAAGTCCAAGCTAAGAGTACAGAATGTAGAAAAAACAACAACTAAAAAAACCTAGCTATAAGGTCCCCTACTTTCTCTGCCATAGCCATCATGTTTGTGTGATCAGCTCTGACCCAAGGAGGTACAAGTCTAAACGAATACTTGTTTCTCCATTGTTCTACATAAACCAGGGAAGCTACTCAGATTACTATGAAGCAAGGCACACAAGGCCAACACTGTGCTGAAGGTTTGGATATGACCAGTACCTGGAGGGCAATTGTCTGAGAACCACATCTACACCACTTTGAGTCCATGACAGACAGAAGGCAGGATATAAAGGTAAGGAAATTAATGTTTTTTTAAAGAAGGCTTTCCAGTACTTTCCCATGGGCAGTTCATAATTCGTTTCTATTAGATAGGAAAATGCCTCGCGGATAAAAGATAGTAGCATCTATTTTGGCCTGCCCAAGTTCCCTAAAAACAAACAAGATTTCACAGGTCTAGTTTGGTCTCCTCTTCCAATGAGGTCATGTTAGAGGTTATTGCAAAATTTCTGAACTAACATATCACCAAGTATCCAGGGATCCAAGTTTTTAACATTTTAATTAGCTCAAAGTACCAGTTAAGGCTGCTCATAAATGAAATCAATATCAAATTAAAATTATAAATGGTTAGAAATGTTTCAACTATGCTTAGCAATCTAATTAATGTAAGCACTTTGCTGCATGGCCTAGAGTATGCTACTATTGAAATCAATGAGCATAAATTCAGTACAGTCCTCCATGCTGCTACATGTTGTTGTTTTAACCGATCCTCTGAAGCCCATTTGATACGAAAGTTTTCTTAAGGCAGCAGCTTAAAAGTCTTTGGCACTACAGACTGGACTCCAAACAACTACATCTGCTAACGACGCAGGCTCTGTCAGAAGAGCAACAACTGACATCCCACCTCTAAACTTTATGGCATTTTTATGGTGCATTTATGGTAACTCTTGGAAATGCAGCACATGATGCAAAAATACACATGTATTTTATGACATAACCACACCCTTCTTTTAAACTGCTGGACATTATATATTATTATTAGTATTGAATTATGAGATCCTTCCATGTTCAGTTCATGACGATTGAAAGCCCTTCATTTGTATTTAAGTTTCTACTGGTGCGTCCTACAGAGAAGTTGGGACACATGAAAAGGTTACTAATAGAAACCTTGTGGTGCCTAACTAACTTCCAAATGACTTGTTTCCACTGAACAGCCTACATTCTGTTTTATTCCCATCAAATGAAAATATTTAAGAGGAAAACAGTTTAATTGTAAATTTAATAGAATTCTGAATGCATGGACTCATTCATGCCTCTGAGAAGGATACTGTAGCTATATAAAATCTTTGTACATGGGATCTGCATCAGGCAAGTACAATAGGCAACATTTGAGCAAATGCAAAAAGTCACAGCATTTATTCTTGGCCACTGTAATAGAAAATAAATCTGCTATGGTTCTGTGTTGTATCAACACCTTCTTTCCATATTTATTACCTGTATATATATTTTTCATGTGAAAACACAGTCCCATATTAAATATGAAAGAAAATATTTTCTTGCTGCTCTTCTTCAACTGTGTAAAAAAACTCAGGGCCACTTCACCATAAATTACAAAATACTCACTCAATAGGCACATTCATGAAGGAAATAACATAACTCAGTCGGTACAGCGTGCATCTCTTAATCTCTGAGCTGTGTCCCATGTCGGGCAAAAGAATTCCTGCATTGCAGCGAGTTGGACTAGATGACCCTCACAGTCCCTTCCAACTCCACAATTCTAAAATTCTAACGTGCACACAGGTGTGCCACATAACCATGGCAGATTAACTACATGTACAGATGCACTGGGTGTGATCACTATTATACAGGAGATGCAAATTGTTGACTTTGTAGGAAAAAAAGTGTTGTGTAGGAATGCCTGCCAATACAGGAATTTGGTAATGCACGAAGTGGCTCCTATTTTATGTGTTTATGGATGGGGACAGACCTTAGGGTAGACCCACTGAAATTAATGGCTATGATTAACTTAGGTTAATTAATTTCAGTGGGCTGACTCTGAGAAGCACTAGCATTAAATACAATCATTTCATAGGGAGTTGAGGGTGGTACGACAGAGGCATCATCAGTTACGTAGTGCACACATACATTTCTTTTGTCCTACCAATAGTTCTGGTCAAACAGGTTTTCCTGGCTCTTGGAGGTCTACAAAACCTTGCAGAACCTGTGAACAAAGACAATAGAGGTGCGTACACCATGTGCAATAATAAGCCTCTGTCATAGCATCCACATCTCCCTGGGTGAAGGCTGGTCATCTCCAGTGCAAATCGTCATCTTTTGCTTTGCTGGCTTAGCACTTTGTTTACACAGAACAAATGGTTCAGCAGGAACTGAGAAGAGGAGGGACAAAGGGATATGGGTTTTCAGAGCAACTTTTACTCAGATATCACGTTTTCATTAAACCTTCCCTCCAAGAAACTCAAAGGGGGTTGCAAGTTGAAAGAGAGAAGATGGACAGAACTCGGGGTCATCCAGTGAAGTTGAAAACTGGCAGAGTCACGGGGATAGTGAATATGTCTTCACATGGTACAGAGTTAAAATATGGAATTCACTTCCACAAGATATAGTGAGAGCCACCAACTTAAAGGGCTTTAGAAGGGTATTAGACAAATTCATGAAGGAGGAGACTATCAATGGCTGCTAGTCATAATGCCTATATTGCTTCTATTATCATAAGCCGGATGCCTCTAAATATCAGCTGTTGATGTGGAGAATGCTATTGTGCTCGTGTCCTGCATTGTGGCTTCATGGACACCTGGTTGGTCACTGTGAGAACAGGACGCTGAACTAGATAGGTTTGATCCTGCATAGCATGTTCTCCCCATGGCAATCCACCATGGCCTGTGGCTGGGTGGCATGAAGGGAGAAAGGGCAAAATGACTATTATTTTCTTCCACCCTTCCTCAAGATGCTCAAGGCAACTTACATGGTTCTTCCTCTGCCCATTCCAGCTTATGTGGTAGGTTAGCATTTTAAACCCCAACAGGGAAAAGGCTTTGGAATGGGGAAATGGCAGTAAAGACAAGGGTAAGCACTCTTAGGTGCCTCCTCCTAAGAAGCTTTTTAAAAAATAAAAAATAAAATATGAGGACTGGAGTTCCAGTACACAATTATCTGTGCATAATGTGCAGTTGGCCCCCAAGCGGCAAACCCTATATAAGCTTCAACTGTGCCATGACCTTCAATGTGCCATGAGTGTGATCCTATGCATATTCAGTGGAGCAGATGTCCCATCTTGTTCAATGAGGCTTACTCCCAGGTGAACACACAAAACCACAGGATAATATCCAATGTTAGTTATGGTCATATTCAAAGCAGACCCAGTGAAATCAGTGGACTTAAGTCCACTGATTTCAGTGGGTCTACCCTAAGTACGAATTAGTCAAATTTCACCCACATTCATTGGTACTTCCATGTGCAGGAGCAGAATCCTATTAACCTGCGGCATAGAAAGCTGCCTTTGTAGACCATTCAGGTTCTCGGCACTGATGGGCATCAGCTCCTCATGGTTTGAGAGACAGGAGGATCTTCCAGGGTTGAACTTGGGACCTTCTGAATGGAAAGCATGTGCTGTGCCACTATGGTGCAGACATTCGCTGGTAGGGCTCAAACACCCAGCCACTATAAGTCACTGGCAGCAGCTGCTGATTGTCGCAAGCTGCCTTACACCAAATCAGACCATTAGTCCAACTAGCTACAGTGACTGGAGTCTTCCCTACCCCTACCTAGAGCTGTTAAAGACCAAATCTGGGACCCTCTGCATACAAAGTCATAGTGCCTGACCATTACAAAACTTTTGTCTTGTCTAAGCAACTACCTCTAAGAAGCATGGGTGATGCAAGTAGAATGGTTTATATTTGTAATACTAGCAGACGGAAGCATTTCAAAAAGTGCCAGTGTTCCACATCCCATTTATGTGTTAAAATGTCACCAGCAACAAAAGACGGTATGTGAGTACAAACAGGAGTTATAATTCCTAGCTCAAGTTATTGTATAGCACTAATTAAAAGGCTGTGGGGTGCCTTTTACGTACCGATGCACGTAATGCCATAATCTGTGTGGCTATTTAATGTGAAAAAATAGCTATCCAGTTCACCCCACTAGCAACAGATATTGCTTTCTATAACTCTTAACTATTTAGCATCTTGAGGTTCTGGGTTTGTTTGCTTTTTAAAAATACTATCCTGTCTTCTCTAGATGCACTTATTTACATTGCTTGCTATTTAAAAGTGTTCTTAATTTCCATTTCTTGGGTCTTGTCTTTTGCTGAACAAAGGAATTTAAAATGTAAAATAAAAGACTGTGGCAGTGTAAATACACAAATATTGAGAAATACAAAAAGCAAGCGATGTCCTCACTTATTTTTTAGCTCAGTAGGTTCAGAGGCTGCTGCATGCATATAATCCCATCAAACAAAGGACAGTCTCCCACATGGCAGATTTAAACAGGGGATTGTTTTGCTTCCCTATCTGCTGAACAGTACCGATTCCACAGTTTAGGGGTTTAGCCACAAGTCTTGGCTACTAGAAAATAGATAAAGGGCAACAAGCACAAACACACCACACCACTATGTAAATAGACACGCCACTTACATACTCTTGCTCATTTCTGGCATAAGTTAGAAGCTTCCTGGTTTGCTAACACAGGAGGGGACCACAGGTCGCGTTTGACTGAGAAGACATTGGTCTAGCTTAGGCAGCAGCAGGTGCTGGGATCAGAGCCTAAGCCAGGCAAAGTAAAGGTGCTCTTAAAGAACCCTTATGGACTGATCCTGAAGCAGGATCCCTGAGAGAAAGGCGCTGATGTTTCCTCAACACCGTGAGGGTCACCCTTGCAGGGGACAGCAAAGAACTAGTTTTGGAAAGTTGTTCTGCAATTGCCCCATCACACCCTCTGGATGGGACCAACCAGGCCTAAAGCCTAGAGGAGAAGGAGAGATCCGCAAGGGTGGGGTGCACTGCATAAGAGAAAGTGCTCTATGAACGCAGTCTCGGCCACGCAGTCACCTTTTTCACTTGGGCATTTCCTTCAGCTCCTACCAGCAGAAGGCTATAATCTAGAAATGTGGGTTAGTTGATGATGTGGGTCAAGTGTGTTTGGTGGTGGTTTCTGTGAGGTTTCTTTTTTAAGCTCTTTATTTAGGCTTGCAGATCTTGACCACGAAAAACCAGTTCAAGTGTATGTCAGAGAACTCAAGTTTTGTCGGGTCAAAAACGGAGTCAAATACTGTACACCCTACTCTCACAAAGTCACTTGTAACACTGAACAAAAACCAGTTCCTCCCCCCCAACACTCGTGAACCACTTTTCTCCACCGTCAGAAACTACGGCGGCATTTTTGTTCTGTTTTTTGAGAGCTTTAAGAGAGTAGGAATTTTCCCGCCCTTTCAATGCGTTCTGAGGGGAGCTTCAGCGCTGGCGCTTGTTATGACTGGGAAACAAACGGGAGATAGAGAGGGGTGGTCGTTTTTCTGCACTAATTAACACAGAAGAGCGTGCGCGTGCGGATCATGTATATCCTGCAATGGAGTTGGGGTGGTGGTGGTTTGCCTTCAGATAGATCCATTCCGACCCACTACTTTGAGGAAAAGTAAAAAAGGAATACGAGACTGGAGAGAGCGTGTGACCCACGCAGGAGAACGCCGTGCCTCCTCCCCGATCCCGTTCGCACAACCACCCGCCCGGCCGACCACCAACTTTCCTCCCCGCCACCGCGCGCTCACCTTCCAGCCGGCCGAGCTGTTGCTGTCGCCCTTATCCTTGAAGTAGGGCACGCAGCGCACCATCCACTCGTAGATCTGCGAGAGGGTGAGGCGCTTCTCCGGGGAGCTCTCGATGGCGCGAGTGATCAGGTCCGCGTAGGACAAGTTCCCCCACGCGTTTCGGCGGGACGAGCATTTCCTCGGCGCCGCCGCCGCCCCGCTGGCCCCCGGCTGCTGCGGCTGCTGCCCTCCGCTCGGCGCCCTGGCGCCCTGGCCGGACCCGTCGCCGGACAGCCCCGAGAAAGGCGCCAGCAGGCGGGCCGTGTCCTCCGGGGCCAGCGCCTCGCCGCCGCCGCCGCCGCCGCTAGGGACGGCGTCTCCGACGGCCATGGCCGAGCTGCCCCCTTGCTCCTCGTCGTCGACGTCGTCGTCCTCCTCGGGGATCATGGAGGCGGCGTCGGCGCCCGCTTCCCCCGCGGGCTTGGCCGGGCTCGCCTGCAGCTCAGGCCTCTGCAGGGGCCACGTACAGGAGCGCGGGCGGCTCTGGGGCTCGAACTCGGGGTCCAGGTCCACGTCCACGGGGGACAAGGGGGCGGGGGGAGACGCCTCTGCCATCTTGGCCTCTCCCCCGCTCGGGAGGCTGCTCTGCCTGCCTGCCGATCCGCTGCCAAGTGGGGATGTCAGGGGAGAGGAGCCCGATCCACACCTCGGCCGTCCCTCCGCCGCCGCCGCTGCCTCCTCCTCTCGCACCTCCTAGTAGCAGCGATCAGCGAGGTTGTACAAACATGCCACGCTCCATTAAAGGTCCGGCCGCCTCCTTTTCACCCCGCCACCTCTCTTTCCCTACCGCCAGCAACAACAACCAATAAAATCAATCGGGAAAAAGAAACGATCAGGTGGTCAAGCCGGCTCCAGGTGCGTCCTCTTCCTCGGGATCCTGAGGAGCGCCGATTTTGCAAGAAACACCCCCCCTCCAAAAAAAACCCCACCCAACCCTTGCAGAGTGGGAAAGCAAATCTCCGCGGCGGCGCGCCCGTGTGTTTGTTTATCTTTCACCCCGTGCAGGATTGCTCCAATAGCATCTCGCGGTATGCATTAAAGAGACCACTTCCCGCGGGCTCTCTCCCCCTCCGCACGCCTAAAAATAAAGAGAGAGCCACGAGTCTCTTCTTGCTTGTTGCTTTGGCGGGCGCTTTCTGCTCGGCTCCAGGAGTCCTTCTCCGCCGCTGACTTCGAAACAGCTTAGCTGGGAAACTGAAGTCTTAAAACGCACACGATCGCGCCTGCTCCATTCCTCTTCCCCGCCCCACAAAAAAAGCAACAAAAACCCCAAAAAGGGGGCGCAGAGGGGGAAAACAACAACACTGGGAAACTCACGCTCTGCTGTGGTTTTAAAAAAATCCGAATCTTCAACGTGGGGGAAAGAGAGAGGGAAAGAGAGCGAAGACTCGGGATCCAAGGCAAGTCAAATCGCCGGTCTTCCAACAGGTCCAGAAGCCCGGAGTCCTCGTCCTTTAGGGCTGCCAAGGTTTTCGTTCCAGCATCCACACCACCCCGCTCATCACCTCCTCGCTCCTGCTGCTGCCATCTTGACAGTTTCCCCTCTTTCACTCAAGTCATTTAAACAAGCCTTGGCGAAAAGGCAGAGCGGGAGGTCACGCAGGCGGAGGGAGGGAAGGAGGGAGGGAGGGAGGGACGAAGGAGCGAGCGAGCGAGCGGCAGGTTCCAAGCAGCGGCGAGCAGCTCGGACGGCGGAAAATCCAGGTCGGAATTCACAGGAGGAGGAAGACGCAGCGTCGCTGCTGCTGCTCTTGCTGCATGGCTCCTGCTAGCACGGTTCCTCCAGCTCGTCTCGCCTTAGGCAGAGGAAGAAGCCTTTAAAACAAAGCGACGCGGATGATCCCCCTGCCTGGAAGAAGCGCAGGAGGAGGAGGAGGCGCCACTGCTGCCGGGGACGAAGGGCGCCTCTGCAGCTCGCGCGAGCAGCCCGCCGCCCTCCGCTCTGCTGACTTCCACATTCCTTCTCCTAACAACCAGCGGCGGCAACACAAAGTTATAGACACACGCAGGGAGCCACAACCTAACCCGGTAGCAGCCTGGGCGCCACCCACCAAGTGGGAAGGCCTTGCGTCGTCGGCGGGAGGGGCGAGCGAGCTGCCAGCGCCGCCAGTGCAAGGCTGGCTATCTGAAGGCATCTCAGCCAACAGGCGGTCTCGGTCGCCTGCCTTTAACCCTTGGAAAAACGCATCGCTGTTAAAAATCAGCAAATGGAGCCATTCATGGAGGAGCAGGGATTTAAAGAAACAATGCATTAATAAAGAGGCGTGTCTTAGGAGATCTGGGTTGTGTTTGTTACTACGTGTTACCTTAGCTTTTGTTTTGTTGGAACAACATTGCCCCTCGTTTTGTTTACTGCCTTCGCCCTCAATCTTTCGCTTCCACTCAGACCTCTTACCTTTAAAGCAGAGCTTAGAAAACACAGAAGTTGTGTGGGCACGTGCTGACCACTTTTTCATGCGCTGGAACGTTGGGGACAATCTTTGCAGTTCTCTGTTGTTTTACTACAAAACATGTGGGTGGGTTGGAAACACAACAATGCCTTTTCTTTTACAAAGCAGTAGCTGTTGGAGTTTTCTGCAGTGATGCTGGAGTTTCTGCTGCAAAGGTGCCAACT